TTGGTTTCCTGCTGCATTTCTGCTCCAAACTCACAGAAGGTAAAAATAAGATTTCATGTGAAGATCTTATTTATATTTGATGTAATTCTTGCAGCTCGTTCGCCCACAACCTTCTGACACAAAAACGGGATTATTCTTTTCAGCAGCTCGCAGCATGAAGGGAAACCAGGTCAAGTCTTCAGGTTTACCAGAAGCACAGGTTCCACAAAGAGAAAACATTAATGTAACAACTGAAACCAGATGTTTGCATACACTGGACAAAAACAACCATCTTTTTCCTCACTGACGTTAAATCAAACTAAACTTTTCCTAATTTAGGTTTGTCAGGATTCACCCGTCCACAAAACATTCTTCCAACAGTCTTCTGGCTTGGCCACTTGATCTTTAGCAAACTGGAGAGAGGAGCAATGCTGTTTTTGGAGAGCAGACCTGGTCAGGTCCATTCAGGGGTACTGGAGAAGCGAGTCAGATCATTAGTCGAACCTCAGATCCAGGAGGAACAATGCAGGTTCTGTCCTGGCCGTGGAACACTGGACCAGCTCTTTACCCTCACTAGGGCCCTCAAGGGGTCATGGGAGTTTGTCCTTCCAGTCTACATGTGTTTTGTGGACTTGGAGAAGTCTTTCGACCGTGTTCCTGGGGGTACACTGTGGGGGTGCTCCATGAGTATGGGACTGGGGGCCTGTTGTTACGGGATGTTCAGAACCTGTACAAGCGGTGTGAGAGTTTGGTTCCCATTGCCGGTAGTGAGTCGGACCCTCCAGAGCTGCTCGTTGTCACCGATACTGTTCATAAAATTTATGGACATAATTTCTCGGTGCAGCCGGGGGGGCAGGGAGTTGAGTTCGGTGGCGTCAGGATTCATCTCTGCTCTTTGCAGATGATGTGGTCCTGTTGGCGTCTTAGTGCCTTGATCTTCAGCTCTCACTGGAGCTGTTCACAGCTGAGTGTGAAGCAGCTGGGAGGAGAACCAGCACCTCCAGACCTGAAGCCGTGGTCCTCAGTCTGAAAAGGGTGGATTGTTCTCTTCAGGTCGAGGGTGAGGTTCTGCCTCAAGTGGAGGAGTTCAAGTATCTCAGGGTTTTGTTCAGGAGTGAGGGAAGAATGGAGCGTGAGACTGACAGATGGTGTTGCGAACACTGTGCCGGTCCATTGTGGTGAAGAGGGAGCTGAGCTGTAAGGCCAAACTCTATCTACCAGTCGGTCTACGTTCCTCCCCTCACCTCTGGTCATGAACTCTGGGTAGAGAATGAAAGAATGAGATCGTGGATCCAGGAGGTTGAAATGAGTTTCCTCTGCAGAGCTGGACTCTCAGAGACAGGCTGAGAAGTTCAGTTATCAGGAGAGACTCGGAGTAGAACCACTGCTCCTCCACATCCCGAGGAGACAGTTGAGGTGGTTCAGACATCTGGTAAGGATGCTCCCTGGGCGCCTCTCTGGGGAGGTGCTTCAGCCATATCCAACTGGGAGGAGACCCGGGGAAGATCCAGGACACGCTGGAGAGACTATGTCTCTCTGTTGGTCTGGGAACACCTTGGAGTCCTCCCAGAAGAGCTGAAGAGGCTGAGGAGAGAGATGTCTGGACCTCCCTGCTCAAGATGCTGCCCCAAGACCTGAGTCCAGAACAAGATGATAAATGGATGGATGGAAGGATGGATGAATGGATGGATGGATGGATGGATGGAAGGATGGATGGATGGAAGGATGGAAGGATGGAAGGATGGATGGATGGATGGATGGAAGGATGGATGGAAGGATGGATGGAAGGATGGAAGGATGTATGTATGGATGGATGGATGGGTTTATGTTTAACTGCGTTCTCTTTATCTACATGTACATATTTCATTATTTGATAGCAGGGTACAAATTCATTTTCACCTAATCAACTGATGCAAGTAGATTTTGACTGTATTTAGTGGAAAAGGCAGAAATGGCTCCTTTGCTGGTTGTACGAGCTGCAGAGCCCTGATTTAGATCAACATTAGTGCTGACGTGTGATGAATTACTTTTAACACGCAGGTTAAAACTCAACAAGTTTCTAAATTTTTTTTTTTTCAACAAGTTTTTTTTATTTTTCCTCCCAGGCTCTCATCGAGGGGACTGCTTCTGTCATCCCTCCCCCGTTTTTCCTTCTTCCTGCTCTGCTCTCTGTGTGTCTGAAGTGCCTGGGTCTCATCTCCCGAACATAAATCAAGAAGATTATGGATTTGGTATCGTGGGCGTTCAACTCTATTGATAAGATTTTTCATCAAAGCGACAAGGTCCTGGAGAACCTGTGTGCCCAGCTGACTCACGCTGTGGGGTACGTCATGGATTCGTGGGGAGTGTGGCAGATGATGTGTCTCTCAGTTCTGTCTCAAGAAGATGTTGAAGACGTTTATATATTTGGAATCATGATAGCAGGGACTCTGCTTTTTGGCATCGCCGGGGCTCTGTTTTATCGACTTTTGAAGAAGACGGCGGGACCAGTTTCGGCCATGGAAAAGCTTCCAAGTCAGTGTGAAGGTCTGGTCCTCGCTGTGGGAACTTTAAATCATCTGGTGTACGAGCTTAACCGTAAGGTGGAGGCGATTTATGAGAATCGCAGGTCACCTGCGGCTTCTGGGACTCGTCACCGTGGTGGGTTCGACCTTGAAGGAGACTCATAGCATGGATCAGGGGAATGGAATCCCACAATTAGGCATTTTCAGAACCAGAACGCCCAGATGGACTCAAGGCTGGAAAAAAGTAATCTCTGCCTGAAGAAAAACAAGAATCAGACTCTCGACGGCCTCGGAGACAGGCCGACCATCAAATTCTCCTGGGACATGAGTACCCAAGGACAAAAGCTTCATCTATCGTACAGAACTCTCTGTGCAGGCTTATCAGAACTGCTGGCTGGAACAACATCTTCAGAAACTGTGGCTGATCTGAAAAAACGCTCATGGACAAATCTCAACACCTCGACGTCAAATGCAAATGTACTCATGTTTTAGTTGAGCTGCTGGTGGAGTTCTTTTGATGTCTCAAATCGTGTCCTGATAGACAAGATGTGAAAGATCGTTTTTTGTAATACCACCATCTACCCTCATGTTTCTCCCCCTTTTCCTATCTCAAAAATATTATTCTGAATAAGAACAAGATAAGGCCGCGCTTTCTATAGCTGCAGCTTCGTGCACTCCGCCCATCTTTCGGACGACTGTACGTACATGTTTGTGTTGTATCGGTGCAATTCCAATAAAGTTGATTCTGATTCTGAAATGGCTGCAGGTCTACAGCTGTCAGGGGGATCAGGAGTCGTTGTTTACCTGGCCTTTCTTCCCATAAGGGATCGGGGACTGTTTCCCACTCAGGGAATGGATCATCCTGGCGTTCATGGGAATCCCCTTGGAGATGATCTGAGAAGATAAATCCGGGCGAATATTAAAGAGCAAACATTAAACGTGGGCCCATTAAAAACTGGGGCATACTCTATGAATCACCACCTTGGAGTATCCACTTATTGTCACATAATTGTTTTTGCAAAATAAAAGTAACAGTAATCTGTTACGTGGAAAATTGTTTAATTTTTTACTTCTGGTCTCCGTCAGTCGCAGCCCAGTGAGACAGAGTACTTCCCAGGTAAACCAATGTAATCAGATTACCTTGTCTTCCATTCCAACATGCTTCAGGGCTTGCCGGCCTCGGAGAGACAAGGCCAGGTTGATGCTTCGGCCCCTCACAGTTTGGGCCGAGCGAATGTCTGTCCATCAAACACAGAATAATCTTGAGCTGTGAGGAACTGGTTATAATCTGCTTTAATTTGATTGAATTTTGTTTATAATCTGCTTTAATTTGATTGAATTTTGTTTATAATCTGCTTTAATTTGACTCTATTTCTGAGAGGCAGGAGGCTTCAGAAGAACATTTAACGTTACCTTCTCTTGTTTCAAAGACTTCCACTTGAAAGCCTCTTTTGGCGAAGAAGCAGGCGTTCAGAGCTCCAACCTGAACCGTAAAGAGAAGCATTAACACAAAACCTCTGTTTGACACAAACACAGTCCAAGGTGCACGGCCATGAGCAATCCCTCCGTTAGGTCTTCACCCTGTTTGCTACAATATTTTTACAATTATCTTCCCATCATGTGATAAAAGAATGTTTCTTTGTTGCTCATGAGATAAAAAACACTGCAATGAGTTAATAATTTACTTTCATTTTCTTTTCTTACCAACCCACCGCCTACCACAGCTACAACTTTCTTCTGGGCCTGCGGAGCTGATGGGTCCTCCATGTCGCCTACGGGTTCAGTTCTTTGGTGGTTTGAGCCACGAGCTGAACGGTTCAGATGGATTTACAGAACTGCTGAGTTAAGATTTAAAAGAGGAGGGTTGATGAGAGAGTCTCGTTGGATCAGTTCACAATCAGTTCCTCTTTCTGTCCAAACAGAAACGACCGATAACAGGGCGGGCTGAAGTCAGAGTCTAATGTCAGCGGGCGGAACCTGATCACATCTGGAATTTAAATCTCTCCTCGGGACAAAGACACTAATTCTGTCTTTTAGTTTCTGAACGTCAACACACACATCTGACAAGTTACTGACTGACACCTTTCAAAGCTAGAAGTGGAGAAGAATCAAAATAATCTATGAAAGGTCATGAAGGTGAATGTTCTCTGGGCTCAACAGAATAAAATGACCTGAGTTGAAAATGATCGACCAGTTCAAAGGTCCTGATAATAATCCAGGTAGATAAATGTAACCAGGTAGAGTCAGGTCCTCTGGACAAGAGTCTTCTTGTTGAAATGTTTCGTATTTTATCCAAAAGACTTCTTCAGTCTGAGGAGATGCAACAAACTCCATCTTAGAAAGATACTTTGTTAATCCCTGGGGAAAATTTCAGGTATTTTACAAGTATACAAAAAAAACCATGAAATAATCAAAAAGAAGCAAAATACACAAATTTGAAAAAACTAAATATGCATGTGCTCAAGGTGGTGGGGAGTACTACATTATTCATGATTCACCTGCATTTATATATATATA